TAAAAATAGAATTATTGTCCCATATCATGGGGACAACCCTAATACTAGAAATGGCGCGCGCTTACGGTCTCCGTCCCCGATTATGGCTCCTGCCCAGATTTAAAGAAAGATATACTGTACAATTTACTGACGATGATCGGCTAATGGTATAATAAAGACGTAAACGATGGTTGATTTTGTCGAACCGAAACAAGCGAACTGCCGTCCCTTAGAATCATTGAAGAACTCTCGCTGGAATTTGTTCCACAGACTTTCAAATGCTATTTTCATAAATTAACTATCGACAACCTATATCTTCCAATCCCGCAGTATTAATAACCTAACCGGCAAAGTTGTGTGATCGATCATGATCAAGAAGCGTTACGACCAATATACTGATATGTAAATAGGTCGCAACTGTACGCCGCTAACCATGCAACACGTATTTTTCTTTCGATTTAGATAAAAGTCGAAGATTAATCCTTTAGAATAACATGATAACAAAATTGTTAGACTTGCAGAGTTTTTCGAAGGTTTGGAAATCAGTAGTGCGACAAAGATTCTGTGCAAGTTTCGAAAATATGACCGCGTAACATTATCTGCGGACCGCTTAGGGAACACACCCTTTTCGCTTATCCGACGAATTTCACTGCAAACTTTGAGAATAACTTACATTGGTTATTTGGAGTTCCGACTTAAAACGGGTGGCAATGTCAAATCGGTAATTGTATGAAATGTTTCCTTTCGCCTTGCTTCCCGCAGCTTCAAAAATACAGGTCCAAACAGTACGATTTTCAATCGATCGAAGCCCGTATTTCGGAGGTCATCAAGTCTCGAAAACTGCAACACGTACGTGGCTCTTATAAACATGACGCACGCAACAGAAAGTAAAACACGAACTGGATTTAATAGAACAAATCATACCTTGACAAAGTACATTCTCGCTAAGGACAAATGCAAACGGGCTATAAACACGCGTGGGAATCGTGTCTGGGTGACGAAATTACCATCCAAAGCAGTCCTTGGGTTTTCTTTCCTGCTTTTCGTTTGCCTGCTCCTCCACT